AAGACTAAGATAATACCAAAAATAGTGGATTTTGTGTTTATTGGTTATGCGCATAATAGTAGTGCATATCAGTTTCTGACTTATAAATCAAAAATACCTGATATACATGTGAACACTATTATAGAGTCAAGGAATGTTGTTTTCTTTGAACATATTTTTCCTTACAAGAAAAGACAGGAATTAAGTTCACAGGAAAAAACGTATGATTATACATAAAGTCAAGAGACTAATGACAATCAACGGCAAGAGACTAGTAATGATCTCGATCAACAGGATTTAACTGATAATGAACCAAGAAGAAGTAAGGGAGCAAGAATATCAAAATCCTTTGGTCCAGATTTTCTGACATACTTGTTAGAAAATGAACCTTAAAACTTTAAGGAAGCAATGTCAAGTCCTGAAACACCTTTGTGAAAAGAGGTTGTTAATAGTGAAATTGAATCCATTATGCAAAATCATACTTGGGAATTGGTGGATCTTCCATCCGGCTCTAAACCTCTTGGGTATAAATGGATATTCAAGAGAAAAATGAAAGCAGATGGTTCAATAAAAAAGTATAAATCAAGACTTATGGTAAAAGGTTACAGATAAAAGGAAGGTTTGGACTATTTTGACACATATTCCCTTGTAACAAGAATAACATCCATCTGTATGCTTATTGCTATAGCAGCATTGTATAATTTAGAAATACATCAAATGGATGTTAAGACAACTTTCTTAAATGGTGATCTAAATGAAGAAATCTATATGGAGTAACCCGAAGGGATTGTAGTGCCAGGGCAAGAAAAGAAAGTTTGTCGGCTTGTAAAATCTCTCTATGGATTAAAACAAGCTCCTAAACAATGGCACGAGAAATTTGATCATGTTATGCTAACTAATGGTTTCAAGATAAATGACTGTGACAAATGCGTCTATGTTAAAAACACTGACAACGGTTATGTCATTGCTTGTCTTTATATAGATGACATGCTTATCATTGGAACCAGTCAAAACATGATCAAATCAATCAAGCAAATGCTGAACAAAAGATTTGATATGAAAGATATGGAAATCACAGATGTTATGTTAGGAATGAAAATTACTAAAACATCTGATAGACATGCATTATCACGATCTCATTATATTGAGAAAATTCTTGGTAAATGTATCAAGGATAATGTGAATTTAACAAGAACTCTCATAGACATTAGCTTTTATTTATCGAAAAATAAAGGTGAGACGGTGTCTCAGTTAAAAGTACTCCCAAATCATTGGAAGCCTAATCTACCTAATGAATTGCACTTGTCCTGATATAGCTTATGCAGTTAGTAAATTGAGTATATACACTAGTAACCCCGAAGAAGATCATTGGAAAGTGATCATTCGAGTTCTTAGATATCTAATATTTACCCGTGATCGTGGTTTGAACTTTACTCGATACTCTGCAGTACTGGAAGGTTATTGTGATGCCAATTGGATATCTGATACTAGAGATTTAAAATCCACTAGTGGATATATCTTTACTTTGGGAGGGCATTGTTGTTTCTTGGAAATCCATGAAACAAGCATGCATCACACGATCTACAATGGAATCTGAGTTCATTGCTTTAGACAAAGCAGGAGAAGAAGCAGAATGGCTTCGTCACTTCTTAGAAGACATTCCATTGTAGCCAAAACCTGTGCTAACTATTTGCATTCATTGTAACAGTCAATCTGCAATAGGTAGGGCACAGAGTCACATATATATAATGATAAGTCATGACATATTCGTCGTTGACATAATACCGTAAGGAAATTGCTCTCAAGTAGAATAATCTCAATAGATTATATAAAATCTAAAGAGAATATTGCGGATCCGTCAACGAAAGATTTGGCAAAAGAGCAAGTGTATAATTTATCGAAGGAGATGGGATTAAAACTTATTACATAAGAGTCATCATAATAGTAACCCTACTTAGATGATTGGCGATCCCAAGAACTAAGTTCAAAGGAATAACTAAGTTATGTGTGGCTCGCCAGAAATCACCAAGGGATTAAAATTACCTACCCATTCCTATAGTGAGAGTGATATCTGCAACATGTGTTATATGCAAAGGTTTAAGGATAAGCTTTGCTTTTAATGATTAATTATATCTTGATTTAGGCATAAAAATCAAGACAAGTATAAGAGATACTCACAATAAGAATCACCTATACGAGTGTCAAACTGGGGCCGGTTTTATGAGAACGAAGAGACTAAATTCTCTAGAAGCACTCACGAACAACCAGGAGTGTTCAAGGCTAAAATGAACACAACTGTGAGAATCACGATGTGTCAGAAGATATTTTGTGTGAAATCTATTGTCTAGGTTTACACTAACGGTTGAACAATTCAAGGCATTACGTCCATTGGTTAGCTAATAAGTCCGATAGGTTATCACTAAGGAAGGTTCAAGGCGGAAAGCTACTTATCCCGATGCACGATATTTTCGATTTATACTCTTTTGACAAATTGTGCATATTGTTTCATTTCCGTTGTCATCAAATTCCATTCATGTGGGGGATTTAAATAAATGGTTTGGAAGAGAAAAAAATGTGTTTGGCAAAAAAATATTTTTCTTAAACTTTGGTTTAATTTTTAGGTGGGACCCATGTGCCAAAGTTGGTGGGTCCATGTGGAAATGCATTCTTTGCTGCGTAACGATTCACGTCGTATATTTGGTTACTCAAAACCATTATCGGGTGAATGGGAAATTGAAACCAAAGTAAGCTCCATGAAAATGGTGTTTTTGGTGGGTTTTCCAAAATTAGAGGAAGGAAAGCTTGTTCCATATTGCTTGGCTAGGCTAACATTGTTGGGTTTATAAGCCTTGGGTTTACAACTTAGGGAGGGCCCCAAGGGGTACCCAATTTTTGTGGAAGGGTGAGGTTATGGGCAAAGTGGGTTAGACCTATTGGACCCAAAACAAACACACACGTGCGCACCGCGGCCGCCGTCCGTCTGGTCGGGTGGGCAGGCTACTAGGCTTGGTGCGTGGTGTGAGGTTGGGTTGGGCTTGTCCAACCCAATACTTATCTTTTTGGGCTAAAAACATTTGAATTTTATTTTTCCTAAAATTAAATTCTTACCATTTGGAATTTGAATTTTGATTTGAAATTCAAATTTAATTCCGAATTGACCCCAACATATTAAAACGTTGGCAGTTTGGTCTAACACACCGGTCCAGATTTTCTTATAACCGAACAGGGTCTGTTATCTGTTCAAAATTCAACCTGAACAGGTTCTATTTGTCCGAACAGGTTTCTACCTGTTTAACACAATCCCGAACAAGTTTTTACCTATTGAAACCTATTCTAAAAAGCCATTAGTTCTCCTATAAATAGTCAGTCCCTCATTTGGATTTTGCACTCAATTTTTTTCTTTCTTGCTTCTGCTATTGCTCTCTGTATTTGCTACATTTATTTTCTATGAAAAAATGTATAAACACAAAGTGTGTCCATTGTGCGAATAGTTTGTAGTGTTGCTACTATTCGTTGTAGATCATTTCATCCTAGGAGATAGATGTCTATAATCTGTTGGCACCCAAGAGAAGACAGATTTGTCTTAAGGAGACAGTGTAAAACACTGGACTTGACCATCCTAAAAAAATATTTTCTATAAGTATTTTCTTGTTCTTAATTTTGTTTCATCCGCCTACTCTATTTCCAATATCTGTTTGGTTTCTATAATTAAACAAATTTTGGAAAATCTTTCTTTTAAAATTGTGGACTTGACAAATTTTGTTGTTGAGTACACAAACAGAAAATTTAATCAATACAATGAAGATTGTCTAACAAAAATATGTTTCTTATATTATATTTTTATTATTATTTTAATCAACCTTAAAAATCAAAAAAAAATTAAATTTGAAACTACGTTTTCAAGAAAACGTATTTTGAAAACTTGTTTTATCCTATATTAAGAATAAAATATAAATCCACATTATTGGGAGAATAAAGTTTTAAGAAGGCCCTAGTAAGAGAAAGGAGCATGCTACTTTTCAGTTGGATTTTTCAATTAGAGGGTGTTGTTAGACTTTCGTGGGTTATTATGGAGCCCGCATCGATGATCCAAACCGTTACAATATAGGGCTCATCGACTACTTGATCCCTACAAAAAAATTACTTTGATCAGCTATCAATAAAGACTTGATCAGATCACATTTGTATTAACAATTTATTTTAAAAATCATATTTACCATTAACACAAACACTACGACCAAAAAGGGTTTTTATGGCACCAAATGCACATCGTGGAAACGATTCTATGACGCATAAGATAAAGCCCTGTTATGACCAGTCATGGAAAATCATTCACTTCAATGACATGTCGTAGTACGCCGTTAAAAACCTTTTAATAGCGGATCTTGTATGTCGTATTTGATTTTTTTACAACTACATTTGCACGTCGTTAATTCAGGGGACAAACCATGACGTTCATTACTAGTTGTTAAATATTTAATACAACAGCCTATTTTGCCTGCCGTAGATAACCCAACTTTTACAGCAGTTTTTGCTTGCCGTAGAATATGTATATATATTTTTTAATTTAGCAGTTCTATTTCACTTGTTCTCTACAATCTAAGAAAACATTATAAACAAACTTCACAAACACACACACACACACACACATATATATATACGCATTAATCAACCACCAACATATTATTTCAAACATAAAAAACAAAAATAGCTATCCATAAGTTCTGAATATCCAAAAACTATCTATACATTCCAAACCATCTAAAAATTATGTTTCTAAACATCAAAAACTATCTCTAAGTTTAAAATCATTCAAAAAAAACTATTATTAAATTCTAAACCATACGAAATTTACACAAATATCTTCTTGTGAGTTCACCATCATGGGCTAATTTAATTGCATCAACACTCGGCTTGTGCCCTCCATGACTTTGTATTAGGAAATTCTTAGCAGCTTGGATTATGAGTGCACTATCATGGAAGTGAACTTCTCGCTCTGATTTTACAAATAAAACAAGACTCAAGAATTGCAGCCAAGATTGCCATCATACTAATACAACTAAATTGGTGAAAAACATGGAAAATGATAAGGGCCTATAAATTAACAAAAGCTAATTCAAGGGATTACCTTTTGTTGGGTCTGTAATCTAGCCATCTGCTCCATTAAGCATACAAGAGCAACACAGCCACACAAAAAGGACAACTCCAAACAACCAAGTACTTGAACAGAACATCTCAACAACCTAGAGTTGGCTAGAATTCTCCAACAAATCTTATAACCCAAATCTCTATATATTTGAATTACCCAAATCCAGGACCTGATATGAGCAATAGAAACAATTAGCTTGGGAAAACCTTGAGTAGCTTTCCTTTCCCCTCCCAATTCATGATTCAACTCACAGAAAAGAAAAAAAAAAAAAAAAGTCCAAAATTATTCACTGCCCAGAATAGTTTGGAAGCAAAATTGGGAATCTTACGGACAAAATTGTTATCAGTAAGGAAAAAGGAAAAAAAATGCAATATCTAAGCCTACTTTTCCAGACTCTCTTATTTTCCTCCATATGTAAAAATGAAAATATACACATTCAAATTGAAGGAAAAATTGATCCTAAATGAAGAAACAAAGTATCTAACAAAGGCCTGAATTACTCACACTCGGGGATGAAAACATAGCCCAAACTCTACGTTGTAGCAAGGCCATCATGTAACCAAAGAACCCGGTTGCAACAAGTACTGCTATCCCTACAAGTGTGTGAATTTTCTCTATTGAATATCTATGATCTTGACTATGAAGAAATGGTAATAAGAAGGATGAGATTTTAAGTTTGAAACAGCTGAGTTTTACCTAGATGTTGATTCCCATTGTAGTGGTAGACACAATCATCTTCACAGAGTTGGATATCTCAAATTGCCTGGTTTCTTCTGTCTGCAACCAAAAGAGAGCAGCTACTTCCGACATAAACCACATCAAAATCATCTGAGAACTTTGCATCTTCACTCGAACCGTCAACAAAATTTAGAAGGTCGAGTTAGTCAAAAAGTGGAGTCTTCTGCTTAACAAAAGTAAATTGCAAGTTTTTTTAGAGTTCTTTGTGGGCTTGCCAAATCTGAGATTAAAAAAACACAAAAATTATATGTAAAAGAAGACATGGATAGTGACAAGTTCAGATAAATTCTTTTCTTAGTGAATGACTACAATTGACTATTTGGAAATAATTTTGGTAAAGATATCAACGCCACAACTTAAAGAAAATGGATTTAATCTGCAACAATAAATCCACATTGCAAGCCTTTAGCAAAATTAACTTATGATGTGACAAAAGGGTTGAGATTTTGCAAACGTTAATACTTTGACAGTCCAGACCCAGAATCTTCTTAGACACGGGTAACTTAAAAAATCAAGATTATGGAACTATGGATATATTCAATGAATGTTTTTTTATATAATTTTCAATTTTATCAACTAATCAAAAATGAATATAAAGAAGAATTAAACAATCAAACCCAAGAAAGATTAGGTTTTTACCGATACACTTATGTTCATACTTCATCTCAAATTCACCAGTGAGATAAACATTTGAGTTACAATAGTTGTTTTCCCTGCATCATTCAAACATATTCAGCAACAAGAACCAAAATTCATCAAGCAATCTATTGTTCAACTTCGTGCACGTGAAATAGTTCAAATCAAACCTTTCTTTGAAAAACTAAGGATGTGTTTAGCTTTAATATTGAAAACTATTTTCTATACTGTTCTTCCTAACAGGAAAAGAAATAGACAACACAAACAGAACTCAGTTGGCAAACTATTTTCAGGATTTTTCTTTTCTTTTCTTTTCTTTTCTGAAACACCCATTTTTGGGAAACAATTGTTTATTTATTTCCAAATTCTCAAAAAATAGATTCATAAAAACTAAAAAAACATATGAAAACATGGATATGCTTGAAATTCTCATTCTCTTATTTTTTGAAAACATGAATAACAAAAATGACAAATGAAAACAAAAATAGTGAAAACGAAACCAAACAATCCCTAAACATACTTTTGGATTCACTTCAGCTCTGAGGGGGAAAAAAATGAGCTAAAGAATCACAAGATCCTCATCTTTCCTCAGTGCCAAACAATTCTTATATCCTCAAGCTTGACAGACATTTAAAGAAGCAATTTTTTTGATATTACAGAACCAAAAAAAATTAAATTAAAAAAATTTTAAAAAGTAAAAGTAAAAAATAAATACTAGCTCCTCCATCACCAACAATGACGAGCTTGAAGCTCAGGTAATCAACAGTTTGTTGGTTTGGCAAAGCCTACAAGCACGAAAAACTACAAAATAGTGGCTCAAATATAAACACAAAACCTTACAACAAAGGAGTAGTAGGTAAGCAACATCAACAGTATTGCCGCAGCAGTAGTAACATGAGACCAGCAGTAGCAGCAAGTAAGCAGCTGTAGCAGCATCATGAAACCATAGCAGCAATAGCACTTTGACAGCAACAACTCAAAAGCACAACAGAACAATGGTTAACTGGAGGTAATAGGAAGCAGCTGACAACATCAACTCAACCAATTAATGTCTAAATTTAACCCACCTAGAATAAGCTAGACAACAAGCAGATACAACAGCTATATCTAGCCACCTATGATCTCACTTGAGTCAACAACAGCTCAAAGAAGAGAGAAAAGAACACAACCACTAAATCACTAGTAGAGCCTCACTAATAGGGCCCCAGATTCCTCAACAGTCCACCAAATATAGTAGATCATACATCTCTATGAAAAGAAAGCATACACACACCACTCTAGCTCAAAGTTATATAACAAAAAAATAAAATAAAATTATGGCGGAATTGCTTCATGTCCGTCAAGAACTCATCAAAACTAAGGCATGGAAAGGATAATAATAAATAAAAACAAAAACACAATCATCGTAGCCACTTCCAACACCTAATCTAAAATACAAGCTCTAATGTTATGGAAGTAAAAAATAAAGTTGCTCATTGAGAATTCCATGAAAAGTGATTTGGCTTTCACCCGAAAAGACTCATAAAATTTTTGTTCCTTAGTGTTATATTGAATTGATAAGTTTCTTGTTATGCTAGTAATTTTTTTTTATTTCATTTTGATAATTCAATATTTGGCTCAGCAGACCAACTATTTTGGAGACTAATCTCACCATCCACTAATAGGGTCTATTAAAATTAAGGCAAATCTCCATATAAAGTGGCCTCAAGAAATTATTGATAGTACCTGTATTGAAGTCCAACCACAAGGGTCTGGATAGAGATCTGAGCCATTCCACCACTTCCCCACAAACCCTTGAATAGAATAATACAAGGCATTCTGCTCCTTTTTCTCCATTGGAGCTATGAGAATGTCTTCTTCTTCTTGGCTACTGCACAAAATATATGGACCGATGACAACGAACACGACGAGCAAGAAAACCCTGATATGAATTTGGGTATTGAAATTCTTTCATTGCCAATCCAAATCAAATGAAAAGAATGAAGAAAAAAATATATTGAAAGAGAGCAAAATGAACTAAGGGTGGCTTGCTAATAGGTTAAATAACAAGAAGTCAATAATTTTCCCAAGAAACAAACAACACCCACAAACGAAGAAAGCGGGTAGTGTTAGAAACTGTAATTTTCTAGGAAAACCCAGAAAGAAAAGGGATGGAAAAGGTAAAAGCATAATGGATAATCTTTGAGTCTGTAACTGAGAAGGAGAAAAAGCAAGAGTAGTTGTGAGAGGGGTGAGAGTGAGAGAAGGGAAAAAGGAAACACACTCATTTTTGTCCCAAGTATCTCCTCCTCAGCATTATACCACTTAAATGCAAGTGGGCTCTTGCTTGAAGGGCTCTAACATACAAAAGAATATATGAATGTAAATTGAAGCAGTTGCAATATTCTAACTTCAAAGATTTTGAAAAAAATTTAAACAATGATATCATTGAAATACCACTCACCACGTACTTAATTTTAGGAATGCTAGGGAAAAATTCACCTCCCCAGTCATCACCACATCCTTTGCCAATATTGGCAGGGCAAGTCTGTGGACTCACCGCAATCTACATAAAAAATGAAGCAACATAAAATGCTCATAAGGTAAGAAAATATATACGAAACAAAAAATACCAAAAACACACATATTGAAAATATTATCAAGAGTTAGCTTCTTTACCACTGCAAGGGAGATGTGTAGACAAAGAATACACATTCAAAGGTGTACAATCATTTGACATCTGACATCAGTAAATTTCTAATCTGGAAAAAGTAAAGCTGTAGAACAAGAAAAAATTAACTACCATGAAGAAATTATCAAAAGGAAAAAAATACCATGAAGACAACATTGCGTATCTGTGATAAGTGATAGTCATGCACCAATTGTTCCACAATTTCTCCTAAAGGTAGATTGTTTTTAAATCCCATGCTTCTAGTTGTAGTTGCATAGAATTTATACCCCATTTTGCAACCAACCTGTAGAAGAAAAAAAAAAAAGAAAAGAAAAGATAGTAATGGCTACTGGGTAGGCTTTAAAATGACAAATGTTGACAAAAACACACCTTTAAAAAGAGTGAGCCAGACTCATGTTTGTATAATCTCTCAAAACAATACATTGAATCTAGACTAGAGATAATTGTGAGCTATCTAGAACTTGCCAACTTAGCACTCCCATCTTGGCATTGTTTTCCACAGCAAAAGTGACCAAACTGGAAGGAAAACTTCCTTCCGTGCAATTAACAAAGAAAATTACATGAGAGGACATGCACAAGGTTGACCTTAGACCACCAGAACGAGGTTGTCCACCATATTTTCCCAAACATGTGTCATACCTCATTATCACAGCTTTCACATGCTCCATAATGATAAGAGAGGGGAATGAAAAAAAAAAAAAACCCCCAAGGCCTATCATCTAGAATAACTAATAGGCCAACAGACACTACTATACTAATACAAAAGCTAATTAATTTCCATTCACTTGTTTACAAGGGAAAAACATGTACGCTTGAAATAACTGCCCAAGGCCAAAATTAGCAAATAAACCTATCTAATCAAGATGCAAAAATGATTAAAACTGATGAAATGGTAACACTGCATTAACCACAGAGAAAATAACAAAAGCCCAAAAATATGGAGAAAATTTGATAAATATTGATCATTGGCAAAAAAAAATGCACAAAAATTATTAACAAAAAAATGTAACAATATACAAAATAGAACTACATATATTGTGTTTCTAATAATGTGGATATATTAACATTAGCATCAAAGATATCATTTTTTTCCCCTTTTGGGATAAGTTGAAGATATCTCATGGATATTTAAACAAAGATCACTGCTTTGCATAATACAAATCAATATATTCAATCATATTGAATTTTGAACATCCAAGTTCTTCAAATTGATCCAAACATGACAATTTGGATCATTGAAAAGAAAGAAAAGACCAAGATATTCATAAAACAAAATCACATAGTCCCCAAGACATTCACAAGTAAAATTGTTGGAACTGAGGACTCTGCTTCATCAAATGTAGAGTCCTAATCAATTAGAAGAACAAAAATTCCAACTCAATCACCATAACACTAGATAAAATTCATTAAGAACTTCCCAGCCTTCATTTTTCTTCACCTTATACAAACTACCTCTGCAGCCAAAAGCATAAAAGGAATTTGAAACCATCAGTCACCAAATCTAAGTAGCAAGCATATCTCATCACACTGTGACTAAACAACTAGCATATACACAAGAATGAGATGCCTAGCAAGGCAAGAAACAACTTTTTATATCAATTTCTAGACTCACCAGAAAGGGAGGATATGCAGCAAGCAACGAGCGGGGAAGTGCTGAAGTGAAGTACCAATAAAATGGGATGCGTCTAGAGAGTAAATATTGAGGAACAAATAAAATATGAATTTCACAAAATACCCTAGCTATGTCAAGGGTGTATTTTGACAAGAGTTTTGAGGAATTGATGACATAAAAAGTATAATAGAAATCTGCACCATTCATGAATCAAAAGATCAAATAGATTAAGAAAGAAAATACAGAGGTGCATATTCCAACAAGATCAAACCCCAAGTCGAACACCACAAATAAAAACAACCAAAGGCTATTAGCAGCCACACCCAGAAACAAACGCATCATAGCCATCTGCAATACTTGTGTTTACTCTTTGCTACTGAAAATAGTGTAGTTATTTAAATAAATAATAAATAATTGGTAAAGGGTTGAAGATGCTCTAATATTTAGGTTCCATTTAAAAAGGCAAAACAACCCAAAACCAAATTCAGGGATAGCTAGCTCCACACAAATTAATTACAAAACAATAAAAGTGAGATGAAATAAAAGAAAGAAAATTATGGAAGAAATACCCGAATAAGAGCAGTGGCATCTTGACTAGATCGAAGAAGCACAGCGATGACATGCCTCATCTGTTTCATTGCCGCCTCTCTTTTGTTCCTCAGCAACTTTATCCTGGCCTCTTCATCATTGTCTTGTGTAGTTCCACTTTTCGTGCTCCTTTCTGATACGACTAGCACTACAGTTCGGACTCCT